AGAGGGTCTGTGAGTAGTGGGATGGTGCAGTGAAGGAGGGCTCCTTGATAGCAGAGGCAGCCCAAGGGGACTGGAGAGACGCTGATGCCCGGCTCTTCTCAGAAGGGCACTGAGACTGGGCAAGAGGCAGCAGCACACATTGCACCCAGGGACATTCTCACTGATACCAGGAAAAACATTTGCACATAAGGCATCCAGCAGGAGCAGCTGCAAGGGCAGGTGATGAGCAAAAACTCACAGGCCTTGGGAGGGGCCTAGGCAGAGGCTGCCAAACCCCAAACAGGGGACATGGCTCACTGCTCCCCTCCCAGGTGAGAGCTCAGGGCCATGAAATCACTTCACAACAAGCTAACCCTGAAGCCCACACAGCAGACAGGGCTGGGAGCAGCTAATGGGCTAGGCAAACTGGGGGGGCAGAGCCAGCACAGCCCCCACAACCATGGGGGCTGACAATGCTGCCAGGAATGTCCATAGGGCAGGGTATAGCCATGGGGAGGGGATGCCCTTGGAGCAGGAACACCCATGGGGAAGGGATGCCCATGGGGCAGGGGATAGCTGTAGTGGAGGGATGCCCACAGTACAAGTTAGCTATGGGAAAGGGATGCTCATAGACATGGCCCATAGGATGGCCTAGACTGGGATACACGCCGAGCATCCCCTCTGCTGGCAGAGTGCCCTGCTGAGCCTAGAGAGTTTTGGGGCACTGCAGGACTCCAATCTCTTGGGTCAGGAACCAGCCTCTAATGCCAATATCTTGGCCGAGGCAGGGTCCTCCATCCTGCCTGCACCATGGCTGAGCTGTGCACAGTCCGCTGTGGGGCCTGGCTGTAGGTCTGGGGCTGGGGGGACATGGCTCTGGGGCCACATGAGGAACACCAGGAGATGCACAAGGAGATTCCAATCACGGCAGTGATGAAAGTGGCCTCAGCTGCCCACCTTGCTAATCCTGGTCCATCCAGGGCAAGCCCCAGCTGACAGCGCCTTCCTCCCACCAGCACCTTTGGGGTTGCCCAGTCTCCCCCAGGAAGGTGCTGGGCAGAGGAGTGTGCCATGAGAAGGCTCTTACCTATGCAGCACCAGGGGTCTCTGCTGGGAAAAGGCACAGGCTGAGCCCAGAGTCCCTGGTGCTGCCTGCACTCCTGGGAGTGGAGGGTCACAGGGGTAGGAGGTGCCCAGCCAAGCTCCCTGGCTGCTGCAGATGCTTATTTGGGGGATACTCTCAGCCCCCCAGCAGGTTTACACAGCTCCAGCGCTGGGCAGATGCTCTCAGCACTCCCATGGGTGCTGTCCCCACCAGGAGCCATGACCCAGAGGTAGCAGGGAAAAAAGATGAGGGTTTCCAGCCCTCATGATGGATTTAATTAGCATTTGCAATTAGGAGAGGGGGCAGGGAAAGCTTTGGGCTGCTGGGACACCTCCCTGCCCCCCCTACCATCCCATGCCTGTTCAGCCTGGAGAAGAGGAAGCTCCGGGGTGACCTTATAGCGGTCTTCCAGTACCTCAAGGGGGCCTACAGGAAAGATGGGGAGAGGCTGTTCAGGAGGGCCTGTTGTGATAGGACAAGGGGTAATGGTTTTAAAATAGAGGGAGGTAGGTTCAGGTTGGATATTAGGAAAAAATTTTTTACTATGAGAGTGGTAGAACACTGGAACAGGTTGCCCAGAGAGGTGGTGGATGCTCCATCCCTGGAGACGTTCAAGGCCAGGTTGGACAAGGCCCTGAGCAACCTGATCTAGTTGGAGATATCCCTGTTCCTTGCAGGGGGGTTGGACTAGATGACCTTTGAAGGTCCCTTCCAGCCCTGACCATTCTATGATTCTATGATTCTATGCCCTGCTTGCCCTGGCACCACAGGGGATCTGCTGAGTAGTCACAGCCTTAAACTGGCAGGAAGAAATCCACCCACTACCAGAGCTGGGAAAGGCTTTTGGGAGAGTCCTGGAGAGCTCCCAGCATGGGTGCTGAAAGCAGCTGGTTCCCTCGCTGAAGGGGTAGGACATGATGAAAGCAAAGCCAACATCTTCATCCACCCTGCTTGGAGGAGCACAGAGCAACAGGGAGGAGTGCAGGCAGGGAAGCAGCCCTAGAATAAAGGTTTCCAGGTGCTGGTTGTCTTCAAAAAGGGCTGGTGTCAGACAGAGGAAGTGTCAGCCCTCCTTCCTTGGCCTCCAGGAGTCTGCCTATGAGAGTGATAGGTCATCCTCAACCCTATTGCCATAGGAGGAGACAATGGCCAGCATTTTCTCTGCGGAGCAGAATAGAGGTGGCATAAGGACAGGGCAAGAATGGTGCTGGCAGGCAGACAGCTCTGAAGTAGGACAGAGCATGTAAGCAGGGGCTACCCATCCTTCCCCAGGGCTTTCATGGCCTCCTACCACAGCAGGAAGTTGTGCTATTTAAATACAGTGCTCCCAATTTCAGTGTTTTTCTCCTCACTGCTATGCACAAGCCCCCCCTCTCATGGATAGTCCCCATCCTTCTATCATTTTGAGATGAGACTCGCCTCACCTGTCTCCCCTCTCCCCTTAAATCCAGCCATGTTGATGGACCTCTCCTAGATCTGCCAGGCTTAGGGGCTAAAACTCCCACTGCCCAGGCCTCACACAACTCCTGACACGGGGGAGGTTGCCCTCTCCAGCATGGCTTGGTCCCAAAGGCCTAGGGCATTCTTCTGCCACACAATCTACATTTAAGCCCCTCTACAGAAATCCTCAGTTCCTGCACCTCCCCTAAAAGCCAATAGCATGTGGCCATCCTGTGTGTCCTATGGCCATTGCCTCAAACAGGCTCTCCCCTTTGGGCCATATCCAGTGTGCATGATAGGACCAGACCCAGGGCTTCTCTCCCCCCTCTCAGTTATAAAACACTGAAGTAGCACATTTTTCAGTTCAGATAAGGGAAAATAAACCAAGGAGCAAGGCAGCAAGCTGTAACTGGAAAGGAAGGATACGAAATGAACCATGATCAGAACCTGACTACTGAGGATGAGGCACGAGGGACAGGCTGGCAGCAGAGAGCCAAGCCTGTCATCAGAAACCCAAAGGAATGCATGAAACATTGCAGGGGAAGGGTGAAATCTCTCCATAGAGCCTGATGAACAATTTTGCTGCAGCATCAGAAGAGGAAGCTCCCCTCTTCCCTAATCATAGTGGGGTCACGTTGCACCACAGACTCCAGCGATAGCTCACGAGCCCTCTTGTGCCTGCCTTCAGGCAGGGCAGATGAAACAGGGATTGCTGGAGAAGTCCTTTGCTGCAGAGGTGCCAAAGCAGCAGGAGGCCTGACAGCTCAGGGCCAGCATTGGAGAAGCAAGAGATACCTGCTACCAGGCTCTCTTACTTGGTGCTTCCTGTCAAATTAGAGAGAGACTGCCAAACCAATTTCTTCTGTTAACTTGGGCTAAGAGGCATAAGAATGAAGAGCAAACTCAAACACACCAGGAAAGCACACATATAGATGGGCTCCACCAGACTGAGGAGTGCTCAGATAGCACATGAGAGACAGGGTTTACAGACAGCACACGCTACACTGCACCAGTCCCACACAAAGGAATTACCAGGGCCTGGCTAGATTTTTATTAATTTTTTATTATCATTTTTGTGGGATATCTTTAATATAAGCTAGCATTGTACTCTTTGCTAAAGCTGCTGATTCTGCCACAAACTAGAACAGAAATTTCTCAGAAATCAAGTTGGTTCCCCTCCTTGTGAATTCACTATCTACCTCTCAACTGAACACTGGTCTGCATTTGTGTTTGCAGAAAACATTCCGTGTACAAAGTCTGATGTGCAGCTACACTGTTCTGGACTGAGGAATGAAAAAGCCGGAGTCCATTCAACATCGGATTTTTCCCTGTATGTGGCCTGATTTGGAGTTTGGTCCACAGAGGACAGCAAGTTAACTGTAGAGATCATCATCGTTGTCTTCACTGTACACATTGCCACCACTGCCACCTCCTGTGCCTTGGCTCGGGCCAGCGCCACCCTGGTTACTTGATGGGAACCTGCGTGCAGTAGGGGAGAAAAGAGATGCTGTTCGAAAGCCTCCTCGCAGCTCAGCACAATCCCCTCCCTCCATGCCAACACCCTGGTGCCAAGTGTTGGACAGGAAGGAGAAATGGGATGAAGCCTTATGGCAGGTCACATTGTCCTGGTTTTAGCTGGGACAGAGTCAGCTCTTCTTTTTAGCAGCCAGAAGAGCTCCATGTTTCGGTTTTACTCAGAGGCTCACTCTGAGAAGAATGCTGATAGCAAGCTGATGTTTGTGGTTGGACGTGAGACTCCAAGGACTTTTCAGTGTGCCGGAGTGCAGAAGCACGGTGGGATAAGGGGGGAGCATAGCTGGGACAAGGGGGACACGATTCCCCTTGTGATTTGTGGTGGAACTTAGGATTGAGGCCAAACTGGCCAATTACTATTCCATATCATGCAGCGTCATGCCCAGTATAAAGGTGAGGGGCAGCCGGACAGAAGGGCTTTTGCGCTTTGGCTCTTTCACTGCTTTTGCTCTTTTGCGCTTCTGCGCTCTTGCTCTGTTGCTTTTTCCCTCTCTCTCCCAGTACTCCCACTCTCAGAGTACTCTCTCTCTCTGCCCCCTCTATTTCGGGGCCTCGCGTTCGGCCGGGATTGCAGCTTCGGGACGAGATGGGCTTCGCATACGAGGGGGTGGTGAGCATCTACCCTGTGTATTAAATCATCTGTATTAAATTGTTCTTATCTCAACCCACGGGTTTCCTGTTTCTCCTTTAATTCTCTCCCTCATTCCTGGGGGTGGGGGAGGGTGAGTGACCGGCTGTGTGTGAGGTTCGGCCTAACCCACAACACATGTAAAAGGCTTATACAGCTGCTGGATGTTGCTCATGTTAAAGGAAAAAAGGGTTAATGGACTTCAGGAGCACTAACAGAGCAGCTACAACCGACCTGCAGCACAGCCTACACCTGCCACATGCTCAGCTGGCTACTGTACATGCTGGGGAGAATGGGAAAATGCAATGGAAGAGGGAATTTGTTACCCAGAATCCAGCAGAAAGTTGCCTTGGTGCTCTGCTCTGGGGCTGGCTGAGCCATGCTGCCCTCCCTCCACTCCCCCACAGTTACCTGAAGCTGCCAAAGCCATGGCTCTGCTGTAGAGTCTGTGCAAACACCTCATATTTCCTGATGTCGTTGTCACTGACAGAGCATTGAGCAAAGAGCACGGCCTCCTCAAAGTCAACCCTGCGTATCTCAGGAACCGGGTCGTCCTCCTCCATTTCCTAGAACGGGACAGAGGGCCCAGGTGAGCTGCGTGCCTGAGCTTCGTGGCTCGACAGCTGCCCACAGCCTCGCTCTAGGCCAGGATGCTCCGACATCTGCCAAAGCAGGGGCTGGAGAGGGACACCGTGGCAGACTGAGAGTCATGGCTGCAGCAGGACTCTTCTGAGCAATGCTGACAATAAGGCACCCCAGGAGGGCCTCACTCTCCCACAAGATGAGAACAAAGTGCTCCAGCTCCACACACAGCTTTGTGCTGAGAGCCCACTCATCCCTATCTGAGCATTACGGAGAGGAATGCATCCCACCTTACCCACGGGCAGAAGTGGGCTGCCTGTCTCATGAGCAGAGGAAAGCTCGGAGTGCCCCACTCACCACGGCGGAAGGGTTGGTCTGCCTCCCACGTTCTCGCCTGATCTCACTCTCAATGGACTCACGGATGGCCAGTTTGCAGGCACGCTGGCAAATTTCTGTCAGGTCTGCCCCCGAAAAGCCATTGGTCATCTTAGCTAGGAAATCCAGGTCAACATCCTAGTAAAAAAAAAAAAACAAAAACAAAAACCCAAACCAAACAAACCAAGAGAAGTCTGTCCATTTTACAGGTGACAATGAGGTGTCTTTAGATCCCATAGTATCGAGGTGCTGCCTCAACTTTGGCAACTTTGAAAAGATGAGGTTTTTAAGGTTCTTGTTTTTGGGAAAGTTAACCACAGGCCATGCTCCCCACACATCCAGCAAGACCCAAACATGGTTTGAGTTGGAAGGGACCTTAAAGATCATCTACTTCCAACCCCCCTGCCATGGGCAGGGGTCAGGTTTCACCAAAGCCTCATTCAATTTGGCCTTGAACACTTCCAGGGATGGGGCATCTACAACTTCTCTGGGCAACCTGTTCCAGTGCCTCACCACTCTCAGAGTGAAGAATTTCTTCCTTAGATCTAATTGAAATCTCCCTTCTTTCAAGTTTAAAACTACATCCATCCTACTACATACATGCCTGTCAGCCAACTACGTTCCATCACTACATTCCCTGATAGAGTGTCCCTCTCCAGGTTTCCTGTAGGCCCCCTTTAGGTACTGGAAGGCTACTATAAGATCACCCCGGAGCCTTCTCTTCTCCAGGCTGAACTCTCTGTCTTCATAGGAGAGGTGCTCCAGCCCTCAGATCATCTTCATGTGGCTCTCCTCTGGACCCCAACAGATCCACGTCTGTCTTATGCTGGGAGCCTTAGAGCTGAATGCAGTACTCCAGGTGGGGTCTCACAAGAGCAGACTAGAGGAGAAGAATGCCTCTGCACTGTTGGACTTGTGAATTTGCAGGTTGACTTGTGAGTTTAGGATATGATTTGCTCAGGTCTCAGCATTAAGGAGTCAAATGAAACACTGTCAGACGGGAAATGGAGATGGGGCACAAGCAGACTAAGACAACCAACCTCCTCCTCCTTCCTCTCAACTGAGGGAGTAGTACTGCAACCTCCTTTGAAGCTTTCCTTCCCAACAGCAAAAAGGCAAGCTTGGCATAAAATAGCTTGAGCTCTCCCTTGACATCTGCTTTTCCGTGATTAACTATCAGTTACTTATTGCCTGCTCCCCAGGCAAGGGACATGGCTCTTGTCTATGGTAGAGTTCAGCAACAATTAACTGCAACAGTTCCTCTTCAATTTCCATTTCCCACCCCTGTTTTCTACATTTACTTTTCTTTCAGAGTACAAGAATCTTTTCCATCTTGCCGTAACAGGCTTTCCTGTTCCCACACCTTGGGCAGAACTCCACTATGTGATAAAGACCTGCTGTGCTTATATACCAACACCTAGCTTTGTTGATACCTAGTCTCAGAGCTCAAGTCTCATTTCCACCCTTCAGGGACTAAAGGTTTCCCAGCTCTGTACTGCATGGAGCAGTCACCAACCCTCTGCTCTATCCCCAGCTTGCGAGAAGCATGTGCAGCACACAGCAAACTGAAGTCAAAAGCAGTCAGGGTGATCCTGTAAAGATCCTACCTTGGCAACTGGCGATTTCCTCAGGTTGGCCTTAAGAATAGCAATCCGGGACTTCTCGTCAGGCAGGGGGATGTAGATGAGTTGATCCAGGCGACCAGGGCGCAAGATAGCTGGGTCAATGATGTCTGGCCTGTTGGTGGCACCGATGATGAAGACATTTTTCTTGGTGGACATGCCGTCCATCTCTGTCAGGATCTGGTTGATGACGCGGTCTGCAGCACCACCACCATCTCCGATATTCCCACCTCGAGCCTTTGCAATGGAGTCCAGCTCATCAAAGAAGAGCACACAAGGGGCTGCTTGGCGAGCCTACAAAAAAGCAAACAGGAACAATTACTCCATGTGAGGGGAGGGGAGGAGCAGGGTGCGGGGAGGGGGAGTAAGTTTTCAGATGCAGAGAATAACTATGCCATCCTAATGCTAGCCTCACTGCTAAGACACTGGGGCATTTATCATCCTGTAACAACAGATACAAATTGCAGCAGGAGAAAGCCATTTAAATAGCTATGTTGCCAAAGATAATTAATTCCCTAACATCAGGAAAGCAGCCTCTACAGGGAAAACACAAAACACACAAACAAGAACCAGGCCGGTAAGACAAGTGCAGTGGTAACAATGTTTTGGGGGTATCTCAGCATAAACATAGCACAAGGAGTAGAAGATACATTTACCTTGTCAAAGATCTCACGCACGTTAGCTTCAGACTCACCAAACCACATGGTGAGCAATTCTGGCCCCTTGATGGAAATGAAGTTTGCCTGGCATTCGTTGGCAATGGCTTTGGCCAGCAGTGTCTTACCACAACCAGGTGGCCCATAGAACAGAACCCTTTTTGATGGGGTCACACCAAATTTGAGGAACTTGTCTGGGTGCTCCACAGGATACTGTGAACACAACAAATAAACAAAAATCTCTCATTATGAGCCAGAGCAGGTCTGTACCTTAGAATCACAGAACGGTTTGGGTTGGAAGGGACCTTCAAAGATCATCTAAGTCCAACCTCCCTGCCATGGGCAGGGACAT